GTTAACTATTTTTTTTCTTGCTCTCTTTCTTTCTATTTCTCTTTAATATATTTTTCAAAAAAAAGTGGGGGGGGGGGGGGGAGGCTCGAGGATCCCGATCCCCGCAGTTCCGCGGGCCCTGACATGTAGGCATCTCAAGAAGCATTTTCTTGCCTGTAAATTTAGGAGTTTCCAACAAACGCATACCAAAGTACAATTACTTAAAAGTGATGAAAATTCTCGAAAATTATGTCATTCAGCATTATTTGTAAACACCGTTATGGAATTAGAAATAAACCCGTTTGATTTTATTTCCCAAAGCCCCCCCCCCCCGTCCCCATACAGTACGCCAGTGCCCCCCCCCCCCCCCCCGATTTACACCTTGTTGATGAGAAAATACAACTGATATCCCTTACCTTTCTTCATTCTCTTTTGCTCTTTCCCTTTCTCTCCTCTTTCCCTTTCCCTTCCCTTCTCTCCTCTTTTAAGTTTGCCTGGGGGGGGGGGGGCAAGGTCATTTGGCCCCACTCCGCTCCACACAATGTGACTGATCTCCCTTCTTTTCTCTCTTTCTTTTCTTCTTCCTCTTTTTTGTTCCCTTTTAGCTCTCCTCTTTTCCTTTTCCTTCCCTCTCTTTTTTTTAACGCGGGGGGGGGGGGGGGGGGACGGGGGGGGGGGGGGGGGGGGGGGAGGCAAGGGCCTTTTGCCTCCCCACCCCCCCCCCCCCCCCCCGATCGGGAAAATTGCAACTGATATCCCCCTTCTTTTCTTTTCTTCTTCTTCCTCTTTTTCCTTCCCTTTATCTCATTTTTCCTTTTTTCTTTCCCTTTCCTTCCTTCTCTTTTATTTTTTGATTGGGGAGAGGGCAGCAGCCTGGGAGGCATTCAATTCGAGCCCCCCCCCCCCCCCCCCCCCCCCCCCCCCCCCCCCCCCCACCCCCCCCGATTCCTTCTTCCCTCTTTTTTTTCTTCTTCCTCTTTTTTCCCTTTTTCTCCTCTTTCCCTTTCCTTCTTTTCCTTTTCGTTCTCTCCTTTTTTTTCGGGGGGGGGGGGCGGCCGGGGGGGGGGGGCAAGGCCCCCGCTCGCCCCCCCCTGGATCCGCGCCTCTCTACATGTACTAAATGTACATTGTGTCTATTATGTAAAAATCAGACTAATTAAACGAGCGTGCTCGCTAAATTTCAAATTGGTTTTGAGGGAAGTTCTAAATTATTATTATCATTCAAATTACGTTGGAATTTAACCTCGTCATTATTTTTGGCCCTGCACATAGGACATAGTACCGTTTTAACTTCAATAAACTGTATTGTAATTGGATGGTGAAAAATTAAATTCCAGTTTATCCATAGACAATGTACATGGCGCTAGGGTGGTGAAAAGTTAGCGTAGGGTGGGGAAAAATTAATATTCCAGTTTATCCATATACACTGTACATGGCGCTAGGGTGGTGAAAAGTTAGCGTAGGGTGGTGAAGAGTTAATATTCCAGCTTATCCATAGACAATGTACATGACGCTAGGGTGGTGAAAAGTTAGCGTAGGGTGGTGAAGAGTTAATGTTCCAGCTATCCATAGACAATGTACATAACGGAAGGGTGGTGAAAAGTTAGCGTAGGGTGGTGAAGAGTTAATAATCCATAGACAATGTACATGACGGTAGGGTGGTGAAAAGTTAGCGTAGGGTGGTGAAGAGTTAATAATCCATAGACAATGTACATGGCGCTAGGGTGGTGAAAAGTTAGCGTAGGGTGGTGAAAAATTAATATTCCAGTTTATCCATAGACACTGTACATGGCGCTAGGGTGGTGAAAAGTAGCGTAGCGTAGGGTGGTGAAGAGTTAATAATCCATAGACAATGTACATGGCGCTAGGGTGGTGAAAAGTTAGCGTAGGGTGGTGAAAAATTAATATTCCAGTTTATCCATAGACACTGTACATGGCGCTAGGGTGGTGAAAAGTTAGCGTAGGGTGGTGAAGAGTTAATATTCCAGCTTATCCATAGACAATGTACATGACGCTAGGGTGGTGAAAAGTTAGCGTAGGGTGGTGAAGAGTTAATGTTCCAGCTTATCCATAGACAATGTACATAACGGAAGGGTGGTGAAAAGTTAGCGTAGGGTGGTGAAGAGTTAATAATCCATAGACAATGTATACATGACGGTAGGGTGGTGAAAAGTTAGCGTAGGGTGGTGAAGAGTTAATAATCCATAGACAATGTACATGGCGCTAGGGTGGTGAAAAGTTAGCGTAGGGTGGTGAAGAGTTAATATTCCAGCTTATCCATAGACAATGCACATGACGGTAGGGTGGTGAAAAGCTAGCGTAGGGTGGTGAAAAATTAATATTCCAGTTTATCCATAGACAATGTACATGACGCTAGGGTGGTGAAAAGTTAGCGTAGGGTGGTGAAGAGTTAATATTCCAGCTTATCCATAGACAATGTACATGACGGTAGGGTGGTGAAAAGTTAGCGTAGGGTGGTGAAAAATTAATATTCCAGTTTATCCATAGACAATGTACATGACGCTAGGTGGTGGAAAGTTAGCGTAGGATGGTGAAGAGTTAATATTCCACTTTATCCATAGACAATGTACATGACGCTAGGGTGGTGAAAAGTTAGCGTAGGGTGGTGAAGAGTTAATATTCCACTTTATCCATAGACAATGTACATGACGCTAGGGTGGTGAAAAGTTAGCATAGGTGGTGAAATTCCCAGAGAAGGCATATTTATTTATTTATTTATTTATTTATGCATGCATGCATGTTCACAATTTCATAATTCATTGAAGTTAACATCACATGAAAAATGAATATAAAATAATATAACAAATCATTTCAATTTTACAATCCATTTGAATTGACTTCACATGGAAAAGAATATAACAATGAATTATCATAGACACGTTGCAACTAATATACAGTTTGAAGAAAGAACACACAAAGGTACGTGATGAAACATAAGCAAATAGAGCTTGAATCGTGTACAATTGCACCTTTCAAATATATAACATATGACAAATAACATTCATGCATGACTTATAATTATGGTGCGGGGATATATTGCAATTCAAAAGAAGATTAATAACTTTTTAATTTCTAACATACATGAGGTGAGGTCTTAGTATAATTCTTTGATTGCCCCTAAGTACTGCGCTTTACCCCCCCCCCCCCCCCCCCCCCCCCACCCCCCCCCCCCCCCCCCCCCCCCCCCCCCCCCCCCCCCCCCCCCCTCCATCATCTACTCTCATTATATCCGACCACCATGCCTATTTTAATTGGTAGCCAGCCATCGTTGCATTGATCATGCCTGACGGATACAATACACAAAGAATATATTGCGTGTGTGTAGTATAGCGGTTGTATGTGTACAATGCGATCCTTACACTTATCAAATTGGCAATTTTTACACATTATATGGGCTACCTTCATCTCCGATTAGGTGTGTGAAGAAAAGCTTCACCCAGTACAAGAAAGTCCGTTGTCACTTCAAAAATCCATCCTAAAAGCCAATTTTGCCGTCAAAAATGCGGAATCAGAGCCATATTTCCAAAGCATGCGGGGCTTAGCCCAGTTTTAAGAAACAGTTTCTCCAAAAAAGCGCTAAAAATCAAGAAATCAGTGATTTTATTACAAGTTTTTTCGATTATCGCAAGCCCTTCGAATGTGATGGTATCTTCAAAAAGTCAAATGAAAAACAAACACTGGACCCTGCTAATGCATTGACTTTGTGTACAAATTGATTTGACCCTCATATTCATTGACTCAGCGTTTTATTTTCAGATTTTCTAAAATTCTGTGATGTTTTTAAATTATTAAATTTTCCGATAAAATAGGTAAATATATTTAACATATATTTTTAAAGATACAATTTTTTTTTTCCTTGAAAATGTATTTTTTTTTTTAACTTTTTTTTTTTTTTTTTTAAATTGATAGGTCAGCAGCTGTCAATGATTGAACCCATTTTTAATCAAAGAAACATAGTTGCAATAGTATTTTACAGGGAAAATAACGAAAAAAAAATTAAAAACAGGCAAAATATGTTTTTTCACCTAAAAATATGCTTTTTCAAGCTGAATAATATGTTTTTTGAGAATGACAGGTTGGCAGCTCTGGTACAAGGTTAGCAATATTATTGCATATTGCACATATGCTAATTAGATGATTATGCTAATATGGCTATTAAAAAAGTTGCCCAAGGTTGCCAACCTGGCAACCAAGCTGAATTTACTTCAATACCCATCTAGAACACAAATCAACAAAAAAAACCTTGTACTTATCAACTTTTCCAAGTCTGAAGAACTTCTACAGGACTATGGTTAAGACTATTTAGGTCTTATTTGGCAAGTAGCATGTTCAATTTTGGCTTTTCAAGAATGTCCCATTTTATAATGTCAATTTGAGAAAATCATTGTTCTCCTGTATCAAAGGATATTCTATTCACGATTTCTGGTGAACTTTAGTTTGAATATCTGAAAGGAGCTCTAGATACACTGCCCTATGCAAGGACCCTTCCACCCTGATGGATACCAGCCCAACAATCTCTGTACCGGTAGTCTGTATTCCGTTTAGAGATAGCAATTGCGTGTAAACAACCCTTGTAGGCTTAATACACATGCATTTGGAATCTCATTTGTTCAATGTTTATTTTGAGGGAGGGGGGACTTCACAGTATCTTATTATTGCTAGTATCTTGCTATTTATCATCTAAAAGCAAAGGATTCCTTCAGAAAGCTGTTGAGGACCAAAACTATACTCTGAGGGGTCGTTGACACAAAGACGTAACTCCATATTGTGCCAAAATGAGTATTTCATATCAAAATGTTTTTAAAAAATGTGTGATTTCCAGGAAACACAAAGACTTAACTCCACCCAACACCCCCATTGAAGTCAATGGCTAGTGGAACATAGACTTAACTCCTTAAGGCCCAAGTGCTCAGTGACACTTGAACCACTATTTCTCAAAATGGAGTTACGTCCATGTGTCACTGAACCCTCGAACTCCTTGTTTTGTTTTGCTGGGGTAGGCTTTGTTGGAGAAGGATGACGATGTGAAAGCAGCTAGGGAGGAGACCCTACGCACCCAGCAGAGCCTGGAGGATCAGCTTGCCACGGAGCAACGGGCCGTCCAGGAGCTGACGGTCCAGGTGGAGAGATTGACCGAACGTAAGGACGGACTGAAGGAGAGAGTGGTCGACTTGCAGGCCGAGTTGGAGGAGAGTCAGCGAGCTTACAGGTACAGTCAAACCTGTCTATAGTGACTGCCCAAGGGAAACACAGAGAGTGGTTTTTATGGACAGGTTCCTTTCGTACATGTTTCTATGAGGTACCACTTTCAAGGGAAACAAAAAATGTGGTCTTTTTAGGCAGGTGGTCCTTGTAGACAGGTGGTCACTAAAGCAGGTGTAACTATACAACATACCCTATCAGTCTTTTCTGTGTGAATGAGTGTGTAGCTGTAGAAGGACCCCCATTTCCCCCTCACTGATATATATACAACCCACAACTGGTGTCATATTTAAACAATTGTCAGTTTTAACAAAGAAGACGCAATGGCTCAGTGGTAGAGCAGTTGTCTCGTAACCGGGAGGTCAGGGTTTCAAAACCAAATCGATGCGCTAGTGCCCTTTGGTATGGCATTAATCCTCATTACCTAAACCCTCAGAGAGGACTTAAAGTATACACATTGTTTCTTAGCAATCAGGTAAAATAAACCATCAACCCAACCCAAATAGATATGGTTAATTAACAAAATAGTCTTTTCTGTGATGATTATTGAAGGTAGCTTAATAGTGAATGTTGTGGCAAGAAAATATGTCTCTGGAATACAAAAGGCATAAAAGTTAGCCACGTTTGTTGATTAAAGTTCTCATTTGACATATCTCACTAAAAGTGTAGGTAACATTAAGCCTAATCGAGATAGTACATGTGTTTAACAGGTCCCTAACCCATTGATGTGGTTCTAATACTATGTGATAAAATTGTGATTCGTTGTGGATGCGTCTTTTTTGTGCCACTCCATTTCGCTTAGCTACCAAACAGGGATTCCGTTGGTCGGGCCATCACTTATTTCATGCCTTGATCAACCTTCCCCATTTCAAGCTTTTTTTTGTTCAGCATGTACATAAGGCCTGATAAAAACCCGATTTAAATCCGTTTCCTCGATTTTTTCCCGATTTTTTTTTTCTTCTTACCTATTTCTCTAGTCTTCCTTAATTTGCCAGATTTTTTTCCAATTTTCTTACTCAAAAGGGGGAATGTTGTTAGATGCCATTTTTCCCCCGCGAATCCTCTTCTTTTTTTTTTACTCAAGGGGGGCATGGTTGAGGGGGGGATGTAGTGCTCACTATCACCCCTGGTACATGTAGGTTGCTTCTATTTACTGTTGATCATCCTTTTTTCCAATAAAATAACCTATAACTATAGCTTTTTCATTAATATTTAATTTGTTCATGAAAGTAATTATAATATACGCTTTTAACCTTGTTACATTTTAACAAGACATGAAAAGTAGTTTGTTTCTTTACATATTTCGCACTGGTCATTTTCCATTATACGCCATCTATGAATGATATAATATCTTACTTTTCTTGATGCAGAGCACTGGATAACAAATGGAAAGAGAAGGGAGACATCATTGGTCAGCTAGAGACCCAGGTCAGACAAGTGAAAGAAAACTTTGACCAGAGAGAGAAGAAACTCAGAGAAGAGAGGGATAAAGCCATTAGTACAGAAAAGTAAGCAACAGTAACTACAATTTTTGTTGTGATATTTACTCTTTCATTTACTAGGTGAACCGGTTAATCGTACCAGCTTAATAAGATAAGACCTGATGTTTAAAGTGACTCGGTAACATTGCCTCAGATTCTGAAAAAAATTCCTGGATGTAGCTCATGCTGAAATCATAATTAGAAACCTTTAGGTCAGTCAGGAATCCCCTGTCTGATAATCAAGATATTTATGATTGGACATCGAAATTTCATTTCTCGTTTTCCTAATGGTTTTTATAACACTACAGTCTATTTGGGAAAATGAGACTGGTAAAACCGGTCACTCAAAGATTTTTAATTTTTTTGAGGCACTTCATGATCATTTTGATGCGCAAGTTGTTTAGGGCTTCATTATTACACCACATCACAAACACTGATAACATGTAGGGATATGCATCTCAGATTGAACATTGTTAAATGATGCCTTTAAAAGATATGTACACACTGCCCTGCCCCTTGTGCCTTCTTATGTTTAAAGACATGTCCCCCACTTCCACCATACCTGCAATAAGATATTCCGAAAGTGAATGGTTGTGACTTTAAATGTTCAATATATTGAAGCTGACCAATTGGATACAACGTAATCGTTTATAACTTGTATTTCTAGTAGACTACGGCCCTTATATCTGGCTTTTATCAAATTCAATAGACAAATTTGTGTGAAAGCATCTATATAATGTATATATACCGAGTTCTTCCTTTTAAGTATAAATTTTTTTTTATAGTGTTTTTCTAACTTTAGACATCATTCCATTCCTATTTGTGCACAGAGCATCCGTGGACAAGCTGCGCTCAATTGACAATGCCTTCAGGAAACAGATGGAGGCTGCCCAGAGGGGGCATGAAGAAAACATGGAACAGCTAGCTCAGGAGAAACAAAGAGATATAGATGAAGCAATGGGCAGGGTAAGTTTTATCTGAATGGAGAAGCAGAATGCAAGGCTATCATTGTCACTAAATCACAACAAACTTTTTTCTTTTTTAAAATAGTTTTGCATACTTTTTATGCCTCCGTTACGAAGTAGCCGGAGGCATTATGTTTTCTGGTTGTCCGTCCATCCGTCCGTACGTACGTCCCGTTCTCGTGATCGCGTTATCTGAAGAACCGATTGATGGATTCCTGCCAAACTTTGGTCATGTATGTATCTTGCAGAGCCGATGAACTGATTGATTTTGGGGTCACGAGGTCAAAGGTCAAAGGTTACAGGGCTCATTATGTATGCAAAAACAGCTCGTGATCGCGTTATCCAAAGAACCGATTGATGGATTCCTGCCAAACTTTGGTCATGTATGTATCTTGCAGAGCCGATGAACTGATTAGATTTTGGGGTCACGAGGTCAAAGGTCAAAGGTCACAGGGCTCATTATGTATGCAAAAACAGCTCGTGATCGCGATATCCGAAGAACCGATTGATGAAACTTTGGTCATGTATGTATCTTGCAGAGCCGATGAACTGATTAGATTTTGGGGTCATGAGGTCAAGGTCAAAGGTCATGCGGCTCATTATGTATGCAAAAATAGCTTGTGATCGCATTATCATTAGAACAGATTGATGGATTCCTGCCAAACTTAGATCATGTATGCATCTTGCAGAGCCAATGAACTGAGTAGATTCTTTGGTCATGAGGTCAAAGGTCATGGGCTCATTATGTATGCAAAAATAGCTTGTGAACACATTCTCATTAGAACTGACAGATGGATTACTATTTAACTCGGGACATCTTGCAGAGCCAATGAACTGAGTAGATGTTAGGGTCATGAGGTCAAAGATCAAAGGGTCATATATGTATATGAGAAATTGCTTGTAATCACAATATTCTGAGAACCTGTTAATAGATTACAATTGAACTTGAATTTGAAAAATTTCTTCTGTTTTGGTTTGTAAATTGCTCTATGACGGAGGCATCATTTCGAAGTTCCATCTAGTTATATATAGAAAGCCATTTAGTAATACTCCAAATAATGATACTGGTTTGTTAATTTTTTTTTTTTTTTTTTTTTTTGGGGGGGGGGGGGAATTGTTTTTTATGTCTTTAGAAATACTTTCTTTTGTTTTTATTCAGTGCTTGGCATTTTGTAAACAGTGGTCTCGTATAAATGGACCCCAGAATTTCAACTTCAGCATCCTATGAGTTTAAAGTATATACAAGAGGCACATGCAAGCAGATCCCTGAAGAATGTAAAATCCAGGGACCTGTTTCACAAAACTTGTCATCAGTGACAAATGACAGTCTTTGTTATAAGCTACTGGAATCCTTGCTTCTGATTGGTTATCAGCAGATTTGTCATTGAAAAAAGGCTTTGTAAAACAGGTCCCAGATGTGTTTATAAGGTTAGTTTGGAGCTGTGGGTAGGGTAAGGTGTAATATTGGCTCCAGGGTTGCTTATGTTACACATCGACCATCGATCAGGGGGTTGCTCTCACCATCTGTCGCTCAAGGGACGTCACAAATCTACAGAATTCACCTTTTTTTTTTTACACTTTATTATTGAAGGAAAAACCATTATCTAAAGATCGTAATTTCTAAATCATTTTAAGGGTCATAAATTGTCTACCATAGTTCCGAGTCCAACTAAGTTGATCTTAGTCATTGTGAAACACTCCCCAGGGCCCTGTCTTGCAAAGAGTTGATATCAATCGCAACTTATTGTACATAAGAGATGGAGACTGCAAACTTGCGATTGATTGGAGGACTTACAATAGATTTGGATCAATCATAACTCTTTGTAAGACAGGTGCCTAATGTATATCTGTCATATATGTACAAGCATGATTGCATAGGACTTTCGTTATATTGTATACTTGTGTAGGTGTCTGATGTTGAGGATGAAATGAGGCAGTTGCTAGCGGAGACGGCCAATCAGAAGAGAGTCACCGAGGAGAAGATACGACGATTGACACAGGCATTCTCTGAGATACAGGATCTAAGATGATGATCACTATTGCAAAGCTGTCGCCGGTTTTTAAATTGTTTGTATTACCATACATGTACCTCTTTGTTCTGACAATTGTTCCATGGGAATTCGGGGTAAAATCCAGTCTATCTAGGTGATAATCTTTGTCAGATTTTCATGTTTTGATTTGTTCAGTCATACTAATTTATACTGACAAAGTTTGACATAGGGGTAAAATTGATCCCGATTTGAGGGGTTTGATTTTTTTGGGAGAAATGGCTCCCAGACTTTTCTTTTAGGGCAGTTTCAAGTGTTGCAGCTTATGAAGTAAGAATATTATGAACATCTTATTAATATCTTGCAACTTTATGGAATGGATATATGTTAAAGGTAATACAAAGTTTTGGTATGGGCCATGAATTTGGTTTAAATGAACATATTGGAAGCATATACGCTCTGACAATATTCAGTGATCGTCGTCGCGGTTGAAATCGAGTCTGAAGTTATGAAATTGAAAATAATAACTCTTTATGTTGTATAGCCCCCTCTTAAGGTCAAGATATCAATAAAATATAAACAAAATGTTTCTTGACTAAAATCGACCGACTAGCTATTCCCATTTGAAAATTATATATCACAACTACATATTCTGAGATTTTCATGGTCTCAGCTACCATTAAACGGCCGTAGGCGCTATTTGAAATTTATCATAATTTACCGGGAGCACCGGTAAATTTTTATATTCAATTTTTCTCGAAAGCAGAAGTGTTTTAGGGGCTAAATTTTCTAGTGCTTATAATACATCCACAGGGGCATCCAAATATATCAAAATTGTAAAGAATCACTATCCACCCAATTTTCAAAATTTCCCAAAACTTTGTATTACCTTTAAGAGGCCAAACGCGTTTGACGCAGAGTAGTTTGGGGCACTTTATGGTAGAAACAGGGAGAGAAGAGAGAAACTTGAAAGTGGAGCTAGAAACAAACACTTGGGGTGTGCTCTTATGTTATACACGATAGCAATGTCTTGGCCCTCAAAACACAGGCCTAGGCTACCGTAAATATTAAAAGGGTTTTACAAGATAGTGAAATTTCAAGGGGTTACAGTAATTTAATTCATAAATTATTTACATCCGTGTAAATATCCATATATCGCTTTAATATCAGAGGCTATTTTTTGGTGTCATTCCTTTACTTGTACATTGATGATATTGTAATTCATGCTTATATGTCTTCCTTCAGTATTTTGAATGTAAATGCATTATTTCATTTACCAATAAACTTATACAAACATTTACATGTATTCATGGTTTTATTTACATTTCTGTATTCCTTTTATTCAACTTCATCAATTCAGCTCATTACTCTGAAATAATCTGAATCTGAATTTGAATGAGTTGAATTCAAATTTCTGTTTTTATTTTTTACCAATAGTTAACACATTTTGAAAAATGTCATGAAGAAAGTAAAGGTGATTTCAATTTTGTTTCCATTTTATAGTGAACACAATGAGAAACACTAAATAATAATAAATGTTACTACATGTATAAATATTATTTTATGTTCTCATTCATTTTTTCAAATTTCATTTTTTTTTTTTTGTTGAAAAACCCATCATACTCATAAAGGTTCATTAGGTGATTAAAGATACCTACCTCCACATACAAAATTATGTGTTTTTTTTAAATGTCAAAATCAACTTTTGTCATCCTGCCCATTTCACACAAGAAGGGAGGACAGTGAAGATACAAATGCATTACCGGTACATGTATTAGGTCAGTAAGAAAGCTGATCGCCTGTCTGATTATCAAGATATTTATGATTGGAAATCAAAACCAAATTTTGCGTTTTTCTAACTGTTTTCATAACACTACAGTCTATTGGGGAAAACGAGTATGGTAAAACCGGTCACTCAAAAATTTTTACTTTTTTGAGGCACTTCATGATCATTTTGAAGCGCAATTTTTGTTAGGGCTTCAATATTACACCATATCACAGACACTGAAAACACGTAGGGCCGTGCATCTCAGATTTAACTAAATGATGCCTTTAAGTGAAGAAAACATCTTAGAAAAATGCCTACTCTTGAGTATACATGTATATCAGACATTGAGAATTTCACCTTGGAATTCACCTTACACCATATCATGTTACAAAGAGACGGTATTCAGTGCAGTGCCGACAGACATCTAAATCTCATATGATCTCAGGGAGACGATCTGGGTCAAGAATCTTTACATAAATACCAATTTGGTACATGAAAATAAACACAGTGCAACGCAGCAACAACTTGAGCCTTCATGGGAGTTTGAAGAACTGCCTTATTCAGTAAACACACTTTCTTTTCAAAAGATATAGAATTGTATATTTCGAGGGGTCAGTAACACAAAGACGTAACTCCATTTTGGCCATTTTGAGAAAAAGTGGTTTAAAGATAGAGGTCCACTTGGGCCTTAAGGAGTTAAGTCTATGTTTCACTAGTCATTGACTTCAATTACGTCTTTGTGTTTCCTGGAAAGCCCACATTTTTCTGAACATTTTGATATCAAATACTCATTTTGGCAAAATATATTGAGTTACGTGTTTGTGTCACTGAACCCTCGACATAGAATTGTATATTTGAAGTTTTGTGAGGATGGGAGCTGTTACCTGCCTTGTTTGCAACATGTGGAAGTGCCTAGATCCTGTCGAACAGAAACAGTTTTTTGTTTTATTCAAATATTCTCTGCCTATGTTTGAACTGAGAGACCCAAATATAGAAATAGAATACAGCTGTACAGATTTTTTTGAAATAATTTAGGATTTGATGCATTCCAACACTTTCATACTTGTGTGATTTAAATGCATCTGCATGTACTCCTTGGTTATTTCAAAGAAATCTTACAAATATTAGAAAATGGATCGTAGTGGCTGAGAGGCTTTGACATTTTTGAAAGCCTAATATTTTAGATAACGTCAAAGTAATAAATGGCATTTTTACAGTGCTTGTTGCAAAATTCAAAGCTGATACAAAGTTTCTCTTGATGCTTTGCACAATTTGTCTAATTTTGTTTAATATCCTGCACTAACCCATGTATATGAATCCGATGCACTTTGCAGTTCTTGGTGAGCATCAGTATGCTTGAGAAAGCAGGAATATTTTCTAGTTTTCATCTGAGGAGATTGGGCAGACAATTTAAAGGGCAATCCAACCCTTGTAATAAGTTGATTTTGTATGAAAGCAGAAAAATAACAAAAGCAGAATGGTAAAAGTTTGAAATGAATCGGACCTATAGTAAGGAAGTTTGAAGGACTGTTTGAAATATGAGATCACTAATAGGTCTATGCGAATCTCAAATTGGTAGTTTGGTTGGTGGATTAGGACGTAGATAACTCTCCCATTTGGCGTGTACAAAAATATCACTAATTTCAGTTTATCTTGAAGTTCCTTCTCTCTTGGGACACTACTCAAAATACGTATTAAAGCTAAAATGTTATTATAGGTCCTCTAAAAAGAATAGACCCCCTGAGCCAGGAACTTTTGACAAATTTAAATTTTAGTCATTTTACATGTTGGAACAAATTTTTCTCAAATGCCCCTCTGAAGACAAGTGGGGGCCATATTAGTAGCCTTGTGATATATACGGACTTTCATTATAACTAAATTGACAGAAATTTAAAAATCATATTTTTGGTTTAAAGGTAAAAATGATTAACCCCTCCCTCGTCACTTCAACCAAAAAGTCGTGTTTTTCTAAATTTTCTTAAATTTGCCCTAACCCCAGTCAAGGGCACATTTAATACCTCTTGAATAACATACATTATCTTCTGAGGAAAAATCCCCCCCCCCCCCCTCATCCTAGGTGGTTTTCAGAGGACCAAATTTGTTTATCTTCTTTTTTTTGGGGGGGGGGGGGGGTGGGGGGAGACAGGGATAGTCATCCTGATATGATTTTCTGTGCATCTTCAAGAAGAAAATTAAAAATTTTGCAATTATTTTCATTTGCTTCATTTTATCATTGAACAGCCACAAAGAATAAAAATAAAATCACACAATAGTGGAATGTTGGATTTTCAAATCTCCACCAAAGTCATATTTTAGTCAGTGTTTATTCATCACTTTTCTACAAGTGCAGGTACTATTTAAGATTTAAAAACACAATAACGAAGCAGGACCAATGTACTTCAACCAACAAAACAACCAATTTTCTTTCTGTTCCAACAACTCTTATCTCAGCAATCCATTATATAAATTGTTTATGGCACACTAAGTCATATAACGAGCATTCTTTGCAGCTCCACACGTTCATTCATCATCTTTTGGCTGAAATAACCCTATACCGGCTCTTGCCTCGTCGATAACTGTCACGTTCTAGATGCCCTTTTGATAATCCTACGCGTAAGTAGAGGTGCCGGGTTACATTCTTTGACAGCGCATCTGATAACGTCATGACCCAACGGAGCTCGTTACACAGATCTCTACATAATTCAAACTAAGACCGAATACAAGTCTTAGGATGTCATTAAAGGTAGGAGGGTTTGTTTGAAATGAAGAAGAATTAAGTAACAGGTGGCATGGCCTCCTATAAGTATACCGGTAGGATTGCAAGTAAATGTTCCATATAGCATTACCTCAAGAAATTATGCCGTTATCAGTGCCTCAAAATGTGTGTCAAAGGTACACCTCTCCCTAAGAATTAACTGCAATTATACCGAGAGATTTATTGTATTCATGCCCATCAATCTACAAGATTCCCAACCAAAGTGTATGTGTAAATTGTGTATAAATAAAATAATTTTGGAAACTGCTTTATATTCGTATTTCTAAATAAATAAGATACAATATTGTTCCACATTTTATATCAAATATAATTGTTACCTTCTCGTGCAGCTATGATTTTCCATCGTTGAAAAGTTAAGGTCTTGTGATTGAATTAAAAAGTCTTTCCAACTAAAACTTGGTGCATGATGTACAAGCGCCCATGTCATGCTGAAAGGCATTACGTCATGCCAAGAATATCTTCATTTATATATCTCTGTATATTTTTGTAAGGAATATTTTATATCAATAGGCAGAAATCAATCTCATCTTTCAGCATACTTAATACAGGTTTCTTTTAAATGTTGGAGGCAGCCTACTTTTTGTTCAATTCAGTCACGAGAAATGACCCTCATACACAAGTAAAACAAGACATTCATATAATTATAGAGAGTAATGAAATGGGATAATGATCTTCATTATGTACAAACGATGATGAGGTAGAGATGAAGGAGAAAGCCATTACTGAGTATATATGTACATTAAAATGTAATTAGCATACAATTTGAAGCACTCTGTAAAGCACAATTATCTCAAAAATGAACATGTTTAATGATATCTAGTCTCTGCATTTATTTACAAGGACTATAATAGTACACCATTCACTTTTTGAAATGCTTCATGAAAAACCAGCTTTCAAGTAAAACCAGAATTTTTTCACTTTAATGGAAACCTTAGCAAACGAAAGTGAAAGTATAGATTTCTATCTCTCAAAATTTGTAGTCATTAACAATTAATTTGGGTATATTCTTCCAAAGGCTATTTTTTTCCCCCGAGTTTTGTACACAAAAAAAAGGCACGTCTATCAGAATTCTCGATTACATTTTAGGATCTCACAACTTGTAACCAACCACCTTAATTTTCCAGCTTTCCGTGCTTCTACCCACGTATTAAGTCCTTGCCAGAGGATGACAACATCTACTGTTTCCTTAAGAAAATGAAACATAACCCATGAGTCCGTGTCCGCTGGCATATGTGCGCCATATGAGTAAATCAATTTTTTTTCCTTCCTTTTTCCACAAGAATGCTGATGTGCCACAGACCAGTGGGTTATAGACTTCCTAATGGACATTCAAGGACAGCGTTAGAAAGCTTACAACTACGAAATCTGCGGTTATATGACTTTCATGATCTGTTTTCTTCTTTCATCTTATTTTTGTGTCCTAAATATGAATATGACCTGTTTTTCTTATTCTAGGTCTATCATCTAATGTCAATAAAAAGGTGGTGTTCAGCAGTTGATTCGTATCTATGGACAACACATTGGGAAAAGTTTCAATTTTCACATTTAAAGCATTGAATACAAATTGTTAACCAAAATCTTTGATACAAGATTCATGAATGTAACAGAACAGCGTTTGCTAATTGGGAACTAGATGTATGTGTTGTCCTGTTGGGGGGAGAGAGATTCTACTTACGTTAGAGCAGCAGGCTATTAAACTATTCTGGTATCTCGGCATTTCCCTCAGGTCAGCTAGTGGTGCCCGGTAAAAACTTGCAGAAACCTTGAAGACTGACAAACCCATGGCCACCCTATCATACACCACACCTTGCACAAGCTTGCTGGATATTCAACCAACCAACCTTGTTTACTACTACTACTATGCAACGGAAGACCAGATTTTGATACTAATATCCTGTACTTAGATTAGGCCTATACAAAAAGATGTTGTATTGCCCTTTTCTTTTCATTTTTATTTTTTCATTTCCAACAAAATACAATACATAATAACGAATACAATGTAAAATGTAAACAAAACATAGTTGCATTTGTAATAAACAAATCTTAATAGAAATTTATACATTTGAGGAAGACAAAAATTGAATTTTTAAATTTAACTGCATTTATATTTTGAGGTCGGTCACCCTTTGCGACCTACCCAAAAATCTTGAAATCTATGGTCTGCTTTTTTAAAAACATTTTTTTGAGAATTTTTTTTTTCAAAATTGAGAAATATCAGCCCAAAGAGGGAGAAGAAAAAAAAAAAGTTTAAAAAAAAAAGATATCTGACCGACCGACCCATGTTTTGGCACCTAAAGGGCAATACAACATTTTTTTAGGCCTTACAAAGATGTCAATGCTGTTCATAAACTATACCCTTGACAATTGTAAGTAAGCATATAAAAACATGTGGATGGTCAAAATGATGACAAACAAAGGCATAAATAATCTTCCATATGTTTATAAACTTGGGCTGACACTTCGATGTTGGGTTTCCATGGCAACCATGCAGAGCTGTCAGAGGAGTTTCCTTGCAAAATATGTCATGAAGTCTCCATCTGCAAAGTTCTGTTTCCATGGTAACAATGATATGCTGTCAGATGAGTTTTCTTGCGTAAGATGTCATAACGATGCCATCTACAAAGTTATGTTTCCATGGTGATGTCTTACTGTCAGATGATTTTTCTTGCATAAGATGTTATAACGATGCCATCTGCAACACAGCTGCATCCATGTCCACTTGTTCTTTTGATTCAGCTTTCTTAATGACTTGCTTGTTTGCCTATCAGAGAGAGAGAGAGAGAGAGAGAGAGAGGGAGGAAGAGAGAGAGAGAGGGAGGAAGAGAGAGAGAGAGGGAGGGAGGAAGAGAGAGAGAGAGAGAGAGAGAGAGGGAGGAAGATAGAGAGAGAGAGAGGGAGAGAGAGAGAGATGGAGAGGGAGGGAAGAGGTAAAGATGAGAGTGTGCAAGAAAGAGTATGAACATGGAAGGGAGGTGAGTAAATGGGAAAATATGTGCAAGGGAGAGAGAGACAGAGAGGGAGAGAGAGACAGAGAGGGAGGGAGGGAGAGAGAGACAGAGAGGAAGGGAGGGATGGAGGGAGGGAGGGAGGAAGAGATAGATAGAGACAGACAGAGAGAGAAGGGGGAGACAGAAAGAAAAATGGAATGGAGGAGGGAAGAGAGAGGGGTGGAGGAGAAGGAGGGAGAAAGAGTATGAATGTGGAATTCAAATGAGACAATTTGCATGAGAGGTGAGAAGATATATATACCAGGGGAAGGAGGGAAAGAGAGAGGGGGGTGAGGGAGGAGGTGTGCGTGCCAGAAAGGGTGTGAGTGTGGAAGGGACATGAGAGAATGGAAGAGAGAGGGATGGGGAAGGGGTGAGATACAAGGGAAATAGAGGAAGAGAAAAGAGAGGGAGAGAGAGAGTGTGCAGGAAGGTAAAAGGGCAAGAAGATGTTTGGAAGACAATGACAGATGGAGTAAGGCAGAGAAACGAGGAAAGGGGAGGGGGGTAAACAGAAAAAGTTAGTGAATAATTTGCAAGAATGGAGAACTTTACTTTTCAAACACAACACAATTAGCTCCCAGTGCTCTAAAAATGGTTTTGAATATCACATGCAATTTTAAACTGAAACAAAATATTACATGCTAGATGATAATCCTCGACTTAAAAATTTACATTCAAAATGACAATTCAACTTAGCCACAATTATCATCTGTATTTTGTTTCTTCTCTCAAACTATGCTCAAACTAACATATCTACAGTTTCTTCCCTTCCCAATTTAAAATCAGACCAAGCCATAACCAACCACTGGAGAAACCTGACAAAGTCCAGATTTTGCTCCCGAATGTCATATCAAGGGTTCGGTGACACAATGACGTAACTCCATATTTTGCCAAAATGAGTATTTCGTATGTTCAGAAAAATGTGGGCTTTCCAGGAAACACAAAGACTTAACTCCATTGAAGTCATTGGCTAGTGAAACATAAACTTAACTCATTAAGGCCCAAGTGCTCATTGACACATAAACCACTTTTTCTCAAAATGGCCAAAATGGAGTTACGTCTTTGTGTCACTGACCCCTCGGTATATCCTAAACAGTAACAGACCAGTCCTTTTTCCCCTACCCTTGAGAGTCAAACAAAAATAGTCTCAAGAGCTCTTAGGAGGAGAGAGAGAATTCTGAATTCTAATAATAAATACCCATTTCTGACATTACTTTTGGCCTTCTGGATATAATGTGCAAAACTCAAGAGGCGGTTGTCCTTCTATAAATATAATCAAATCATTTCAAAAGGAAAAGTATGAGTGCCCCAGACTTTCGAGGATTACTTCTGAAATTACGCAGATTCTGTTTATACAATTGCAGAATTAAAGTTCTGAATCTCATTTCAATCTGTCATGCAATGTACTTGAAAGTGATTCCAAATCAAAATTTTTAAAATGTGAAGGTTTGCAATTTGATTAGGCCTCAGCTTTTCAAACTTTTTCAAACTGTACTTTATTTTGACTCAAACAGAAAAACCTGAAGTGTAACCTTTTTCATTTCAGTGGTATTAAACTTAAGGCGCTGAACAACACTAATTATTCAGAAGCAAATGAATATCTTACAAAATTGCAGATTAAATTAAAGGGAAGTCATTATTTTCTTGCTTGGAGAAACATGCATTATGTGAATATATCAGTTTGAATAACTAAATCATCTGAACCTAATTTTTTTATCATGATTTTAATACCAAACGAAATATGAAACTGCTCCTAAACCATTTTCTCCACCAGATGGAAAAAATAAATCTCAGTATGGCTGAGTGTGCAAAGCAGAAATAATGTGTTTATATTATAGGAGGTGAAACGGTATATGTCACTTTACTTTAAAAAAAAAATATGGTCTACATGATCTTGAATTTGGCATGAAAGGACAAATTCTCAATGTAGAAATTAATGTGAAGCAATTTAAACCAATTTAATCCACCTGTGAAGTTAAGTTGTCATTTTTCACCAATTTTCTTGCCATTTGTTTTCTTCCATCAATTGTAATGTAATGATCGGAAGGGTTGTGATATCTTGCTTCTTTGTCATCATAATAAGTGTTTCTAGTACATATTTTTGGAAATAAATTCCAAGGTTTAAGACTCATTTTCATTTTTCATAATACATTTCCTACTTCTATTTTTTATATTTCTTTTCCAAGGTTTATGACCCACTGTAAAGAATAACAACTTTTAACAACTTATCTGACTAAGTTTTGGAACTAATAATCTAAGACAGATGAACATATAATTGTCATAATGAACGATTACTTTGGGGGTTGGCAATAAGTGTAGTGCAGACATGTTTTTGCATTCCCAATTCGAGGTTAGTTATTTATGTCTGCACAGCAAAGAAGTGGAGAGTCTGGTAAGAAAATAGGGCACTGGAGACTGAAATCGGTTCTCATTTTTAATGTGGGTGTTGATTTGATTTAGAACCACAGCAAAACATGTTATCCCGATCTTTCACCAATCTTCATCTAACTATCTACTTCCATGCATGGTTATTTTGGGTGAAAACATCAAAAATAAAATGAATGTATACATCACTGCTCTGTGACACTAAGTGATTCTCAACTCTTAGGATGAAATAAATGAAGTTTGAACTTTAAACTTTATTATCCAAACAAAAAGTACATTAATATAACAATCAAAAAAGAAAACACATCAGGTTCAAACCACAGCTAGCCCTTTAGGGCAATCAATTTGTCATTAATTTATTAATACAGAGGTTTAATATCTTTTACCTCAGGCTTAGTACACAACATGTTTGAGATTTTCACATTTGATTACTGGCATTTTTCTAATTGGTGCGGTGATATCTCAAATTATCCCATACTCAGTATTCAACATCTATATGCATCCATGAAGGACAGTCTTTACCTCAGTGGCTCAGATATTTAAATATTCCACACCAACAGTCCAGTTTACTAACATATTCAAATGTATGGATGTTTCTTTCTTGGGGACCTATAGAGTATAGTGACGAGTTATTAATGAAAAAACTCAGGGGTGATAGTGAGCACTACAAAAAAAAAAGGATTTTTTTTTCCCCCCTCAACCACGCCCCTCTTGAGTGAAAAAAGAAAGAAGAGGATTCGGGGGGGAAATGGCATCTACTGGTAATAACATTCCCCCCCCCCCCCCTTTTTTTTTCTTTTTAGAGTAAGAAAATTGGGGAGAATAGCAAAAAATAGGGGGAGAATAGGAAAAAATAGGAAAAAATAGGGGGAAAACAGGAAAAAATAGGGGGGAAACAGGAAAAAATAGGGGGGAAATAGAGAAAATCAGGGAAGAAATCAGGAAATCAGGAAGAAATCGGGAAGAAAAACAAAAAAATTCAGAACGAAATTGGGGAATTTTTTTTAAAAATTGGGAAACCGATTAAAATCGGGTAATTATCAGGCCTGAAAAACTATGAGACTTGGAATTTGATCTGCATAAATTACTTGTTGATTTGCGGGCGAGCCTCAGGCTTGCTTTCGGGTTGTCAATAACAAACAACCTTTAATTGATTAATTAATTAATTGATTGATTGATGCATAAAATTGTAATATGTTAGTAAAAACCAATCTATTTCAAATCAAGTTTACACCTCATGTGTCACTGTTGGCGTAAAAAAACATCATCCCCCGAACAACTCAAACAGAAGATGATTCAAAACAATATTAAGCATGTGGGTGCTACTCTAATGCAGGCCAAGTCCACAACCAAGAAGGGTCTTCCTTGATGTGTTAATCCAAATGGAAGTAGAAATGGCCGGAACATGGGGAAATTCTCATCGCAGAGGAATCCCATGATGGGGGATGACCAGCTAGATGCTATTTACGTCTTCAGGCTGTCATTATTGAAGTCTAGTCTCTAAGTGATGGATGAAGCAACTTAGAAATTATTACAGCTTATGAAGAAAAAAATTTAAGGGAGAGAAGATTTGTATGTAAAAGTTTATTCCTGATGTTTATATGCTTATATTATTATTGATGAATTTGATAGGATAAGCATAAAGTCATATTGTATCAGCTGGACAAATATTGCTTTGTCAAATGTTTTTTGTTGTACATTATCAGGTTATATAATAACTATAACAAAACAAACAAATAACCCTGATATATATATATAAAATCATGTATACCTCTTTTAACATTGTTTGTTATTCATGTATTTTCAGATAATAGGTGAATTAGCAGTCAATATTATGAACCCAAGGTTGTAAAAAAAAGCTGCATCTTACTTCATGCAAGGCCAGTGGTGTCACTGAGAAATGGGTAAGGGGTAGTGCACATTATTCATTAGTAGATCTTGATTTAAAGCCTGTCTGCACTAGTTTAGCCAGGAGGGATTAGACCATCCAATGTGGTCAGTGACAGATGGTTATCTCATCAAATCAGCTCTCAATTAACATAAGAAGAAGTGGATCATGGGGGACCAGCGGTCACCGATTAGCCATTGTTTGCTATCTAGAGGGCGCAAGTAGCTATAAGTAGTGCTGTGGGGCTTTAAATAGTTAATTTTCTAACCAAATTTTTTTATCTAAATATATATTTTTTTCTCTTTGAGAACCAGATCACAAACTATATAAGTTATTGAACAAATTATCATGAAAATGGGGGCATCAGGAGTAATTGCTAACAAGCAAGCTGAATATTTTCTGCGTGAAGAAAAATGGGGTCCCCAAAATTTTAAATTTCCCAGTAATGTAAGTGGCAGTAAAATGGAACAACTGGGTTTTCCAAATGGTTTTCAGGCT